GAGAACCTTGGCTGTGCAACTCCTCCCCCTCTCCCCTCTCCTCCCTTTTACTCCTCCCCCCGACCTTCTGGTGCCGTCCCTTCCTTGGCTTAGGAGCCTGTTCATGTTCATGGGCAGCTTTTCATAGGCGATTCAGTTACTGTGTGATTCTCGGCGTGCTCGATTGTGGCGAAATTCAATCGTTTTTAGTCTGACATTGATGACACATAGGGGTATTATGGTGGGTGTTGGCGAGTATCTGCATCGACGGCCGTCCAAGCCACCATAGATTCGCAATTGGAATTGGAATGGGGCAGTGGTACATACATGAGAGACACATAACAATATATTTAATGAGTAATAAAGGTGCATATGTATTATATAACGTATTCCCGAGAATAAACCTATACACTGGTAGGTTAATGATAATATTCATGTATTAATGTTTACACCATTAACCGTGTAAACTTTTTTATCTTTAGAGAATTTCCGGAATTTCTCAAAATGTACTAAATTTTGTCAATTGCATATGAGAAAATATTTGCCTAAGGAAGAGTTAACATGAAAATGATGCAATTTTTAATTACCAAGTGGATCCTGGAGGCTCAGAAATGTAGGCGACCTTATTTAAAAATGCTATGGTTAGTCGGTATTAAGCAAAAGTAAGTAATTCCAGAAACTTTTCAATTTTGCACTGGGTGAGTTTTTTAATTTTAATATTTCAATGCGTCCATTTAATTTTACAGAGATAATTTTCACTCTTTGGAAAATGAGTGCCTCGCACCTCTCGATTTCCGCTGTGTACCTAAGGTACACCCACGGGGGAGCAGTGGAGGGTGAGCTGATCCTCAGGGTCGAGCCGAAGATCTACGTGTTGGACTACCTCAAAGACAATTACCCTGGGTTCGTGAAGGGGTTCGGCATCGATATGGACAAATACACTGCCGTCTTTCAGCTCCAAGTGAGTGGGTTGAAGGGTCCCAATCGACTACAACTAGCCTAGAGAAACTCCATTGAATAAATTGCATGCTTAAGCATAAAAAGGTTCTTTGTTAACTTTTAGAAGCTGTCACGATTTGGAAGGAAAGTAACTTCCAAGAACAAACAAGGGTGGAAAATTTCTTTTTCCGTTGTCCGCGCTTCTCTGATTCTCATACGTTTTTCTCCGAACGGAATTCCATGGAATGTAGGAGGTTATTTTTTATAGTACTGTACATATATCATTGTAACGAAGGTAATTACCAATCATGTGGATATAGTACATCGTAAAATATTTCTGCCCGCACATCAATTGTACAAGTCCTTCCTCTGGGTCGTATCCACTAATTGTCGAGCGAATCGGAATTGAACGCTTTACGAGGTCTGACAATAAAATAACGAGACTGTATTTTTTAATAGCTGCATTTTTTATATTATTGTAAACTGTGGTGGCCTCCTTCAAAGTAGTTCCTTCTTGCAGCTGTACATGAATTCCAGCATTTTTTCCACCTGTCGAAGCACTTCTGGAAGTCAATCTCCTGCTAGATGTTTAGAACGCCCGCCGTAACCTTCTGAATCTCTTCCACGGTTTCAAAATATGTTCCCTTGATGAGTTTCTTCGCATTAGGGAACACGGAAAAGTCACACGGAGCGAGATCCGGTGAATAAGGGGGGGGGGGTTTCAAGTACTGTAATTGACTTTTTGCCAAAAACTCCTAAACGGAAAGTGCTGTGTGTGACGGTGCGTTATTGTGGTGTTCCACGATAACGCCAAATCCAAAATCCACTCATCAGGGAAAATTCCGGCCTCACACGACGAAACCGCAGTCTCAGACGTTTCAAAACTTCCAGATAAAACTGATGGTTGACTGTTTTACCAGCAGGAACAAACTCACCATGCACTATCCCTTTGCAGTCGAAGGAACAGAACATCATCGTCTTAACCGGTTAATCGTTTGGTTTTTCTTCGAGTTTGATCTTTTTGACGAGTGCTCCTAACAGTAATTAGGGTAAAGTGGTACTGCTCTGCAATCACTGCAAATATCATGACAAGTTTGTTACTGCATAGACTTAAGACATGCACTGATAGGATACAGCAATCGCCACTATCACAGTGTTGCCACACGCATTACGGTGTTGTCAGTCTCGTTATTTTATTGTCAGACCTCGTACTTTGCAGTTACTTGAGATCTTCATTCCTATCGATTTCTTCCAAACCGATTGTCATACTTTACATCACATGAGTAGGTGGAGTCATTGTACTGCAACATCGAATACGTCGGTCGGTGATCTTAATGTTAGGAAACTTAATAAGTCACGTCAGAGCCGCCATGTCCAGACATGGATGTCAAATGGGTCTCTGTTCATCACGCCTTATCCTAACCGTTCGATTCCATTCGGTTCTTCATCGGCCGCTTCAATTCCTCCTCGCAGATGAAAGACTGCCACAAAACAAGCATCCCGGCGGAGGTCCTGGGCATGGACGATCGGGAGCTGGCTCCCTCGTCCGTCAACATCACGGCCACCGTGAAGGAGAAGGGGACGGGTGTCCAGTTCACGGAAACCTTGATCCTCAACGTTGAAAGGAACCCCTTGGATATCGACTTGGAGGTCTCCCCAACGCATTTCAAGCCTGGTTTTGTCTACAATGGCCTGGTGAGTTTTCTAGTTAGCCGAAGTTGAATGAAATTGAGACAGTTACGTTTTTTATTTCATGATTTTGTTCGGGGAAGCATGTGAACGTGTAACCGCATAATTCAAAGGAAATAATGATTTCCACAACATATCTGTAGTGATAGTTTCAGTAGCATTTCAAGCTGGCATCTGGTATGTAGTCTTGAAACTATTGGCCTCATTGGCTCCGCGTGCGGCTTTTAACAAGTGCACCACGAGTGTCCGAAAATCTCGATAAAAGGGTTATCACATCAATGTGATAACTTTTTGAAGAGAAAATTTTCAGTTTTTTTCCTCGCTATTGTGAATGTCTGACATTCCATGTCGACAGGTTAAAGTGAAGGACAGGTCCGGGGCACCCGAAAAGGGTCAAATGATCCAGATCTGCAAGGATCCTTACGGTGAGCGTTTTCTTCGATGCCATCTCGATAGAGTAATCCGAATGATTTTGATTAGCCGTCTTTGAATCGATCAGGGTCTTCGGATGGGAACAAGGGGAAATGTCGAAATTTCACGACGGATTCTCAGGGCCTCGTCCGATTCCAGGTTCCTCCGCAGGTCCACGACGTGCACTCCATCAGTTTCGAGGTATATATCATGTTCATATTCCTTTTTCAGTCATGTTCCATCTTGCAGTTCAGCAAAACAAATTTTCACCACGAAAATGTTTGTTTGATCGGAAGTTGAATGATTAATAGGAAAATATGCATGTCAGGGTTAGACCCGTTAGTAATAAGCATAATAGTCACTTATTTGATGACCTTACATTATTTGCTTATATTTGTAAAAGAAAAAAAGATCGCTACCTTTATTCGTCTCAAATTCATAGGTTTTACATAATTACTGATCGTGTTTTACGGCATGGAATAGTAAATGCGAGGAGGGTTCAAAAAGTTCCGCAACTCAACATGAAAATTTCAAATGACTTCATTATTTAAAACAGTTTCATATTTAATCCTTCAAATTTCTCTCCCCCCCCCCCCAGCATCTATACATCGCTGCAACCTCGCCAGCCAATTCTGGAGAGCTCCATGGTACTCATATGCAGGGGTTTAGGGCTAAATTCACTGATTGAGGAAGGTCCTATGCAAATCATCATGCTGTTTGTAAACAAGAACGTCAACAATTGAAACGCCACCACCATTGGAAAGAATAGGCTTTGTTGTGTAGATAAGGCCCTAGAAGAACTTCTGGTTTTCATTCAAAAGTAAACAAATATAGGACTCGGGTTAATATATAATTATTTTAATTAATAAAGTCACTTGAAATTTACAAGTTAAGTTGCATACATTTTTTAACCCGCCTCGTAAGAACGCATTCCTTAGGTGAAGGAATGCTCATGAGCCCGCATTCCGCTAGGTTTCGGCACCCGGGAGGCAGAAGAACTACCCCAAAAACCACGACGAAGTGAAGTACTGCACCGTCTTCGTTTAGCTAAGCATGTTGCGCATATCCAGCCACTTGCCGACCAAGAGGGGGAGCCCTTCGATGTAGGTCTAGGAGGCGTCAAGCTGCTTTCCCCTCCACCTCTGCCACCTCCCAACCGAGGGTCTCCTCAAGCTGCAGCTCCTCTACTCAAACTCGACGCCCGACGTCCTCCATTATCAGGTGAAACTTCGGATTCGGCTTTCGTCAGTTCGACGAAAGGGGAGGTGGAGACGGTGGAGGGTTGCGAGGGTCTCCTCAAGCTGCAGCTCCTCTACTCAAACTCGACGCCCGACGTCCTCCATTATCAGGTGAAACTTCGGATTCGGCTTTCGGCTTTCGTGTTGAGAAGCGAATAGTGCATCTTGTTCTAACATGTTGTTCAATTCAATGTTGACCATGGTAAGGGTGTGAGCTGAGCGCGTCTGATTTTTATTCATCCTCTTCCTAGAATTTCATCACTCAGTAATCGAATCCATGTTTCTTTGAGCTTCGTGGGTGTGCAACGCGTGTGCAGGTAGCGGCCCGAGGGGACATCCTTGCCTCCGCCGCCTTTGATCACAGCTCAGAAGGGGAAGTGGAGGAACTTGGAGACCCAGAGCTCCTTCTCTATAAATCCGATAAGGAGACGCCAGATCCTGGGCTCTTGAGCAAGGCCACCGTCGAGATCCCGGTGACTCCCGAGATGGCACCTGAGAGTAAACTGGTGGTCTTTTACATTAGATCCGACGGAGAGGTGGTGTCCGATCACCTCACCTTCAGAGTGAACCGATGTCTCACCAACAAGGTTTTCCTATCTTCAAGAGTTCTTGTAAATTCCCCCAAAAACTTCAGGCTAATGTGTCTCATCTCATCGTTTCGCTTGGCAGGTGGAACTGGAATGGAGTGAAAAGGAAGTGGGGCCTGGATCGAAGGTAGGGCTGAAAGTGAAGGCCGAGCCGGAGTCAGTTTGTGGGTTGAGAGTGGTGGACAAGAGCGTGGACCTCCTCAGACCGGGGGATCAGCTGAATTTGGAGAAAGTGTTTCAGGCTTTGGAGCGCTTCCGGATATATGACTATGAGTCGCCCTCCCAGAGCACGGACTACAACTTCTGTCTCAGTCATCAGCCCTCAAAAAATATCTCTCGTATGCTTGTTCCCTGCTTATCAATTGTGTGGAAGCTTATTTGGCAGGACCTCTGTCAGCCGTGCTAACTTTTTAGGGATTAAGTCATGTGCATTATGCTGAGAGGATGGTAAGAACATGCACTAGTGCGCCTTGAATAGTAAAGTATTCATGACCAGTGGTATATCACATAGTACCAACGGGAAGGAACTACTTAAATAGCGAAAGCAGAAATCTATTGTGTATTGAAAAAAAAGCAAAGAAAACGTACTACTTCTCCTGAGAAGAAAGGAGGTCGGTTATCAGTACGCCTCTGTTCTGAATTGCAGAATGTGAAATCTATTGTTATATATGGCACTTAGTTTCTCTTTAGCATAACTTTTCCTTTTGATTTGCATGCATCGACGGCCAAAGGGCAAATTATTTTCACAGGTAGTTCTCACATTTCACAAGGACGATCAGCAGTTTACGCGAGAAATCAATCTGAGGGTGGAAGAGTGAGAAAAGTGGTATGGATATGTGATGAACACCATAATCAAGTGAACGAGACTTCAAGTGACATGAATTTAAAATATCAGATTTGCTCATAGCGGGAGAATTCAATCAAAACGCCCGAGCGGGAAGAGAGCGGGAAGAGAATCCCAGGGACAGCAAAACATCCAGCACATTCTAGCATGTTTGACACACACGTTCTAACGTGTGAATATGAAAAAAAAACTTGAGTGGTAATGAAATTAATCACGAGACAAAAGCGTGTAAGGAACATTCATTGCCTATTTCTCTCATTTAGCACTCGAACAAGCAGTGAGTCCCTGAAAAGCGCCATATTCATATATTTTTTACATAATGAATCATTGCATTTTTTGATGTTCTGCTCGGCAGGAAAATTGGAAAATCCCACTTTTTTCGTGTTGTCATTCGTGCTAGGTGCACTGGTACATACATTTTCCGCTGCAGGAGGGTTCTTGTATGTAGTGACGTCGTTTCGAGCTCATTTCATTACTTCGTGTAACATACGGAATATGGAGATTCAATAACATTCCAGTGCCTTACCCTGAGCCAACTCTCTTTAGCTGGGTAAATATCCTTTGGAATTATAATTCGCATGCCTTATGGGGAAATGAAAAATTACAAGACTTAGAACTTCAGCATGCGAAAGCAAATTTGCTTATATTGTCCGTTTTGTGTTATTTTGCCATGCAGAAGGCGATTCAGAGATCTTCGGTGGCTACGACTCCCGCAGTCATGCTCTCACATCCTTTGATGTGAGTCAATGTCACAAATATAAATCACAATAATATAACAATGCTGAAATTGGCGGAATATTTTTCCCTTCGTAGCGTTCGGGTCTACTGGTGCTGTCCGACCTGAGCGTCTATACCCTTCCCTGCCGAGTGCCTGTGTTCCATCACACTCAGGCATTTCGGCCTGTAAACGCACCAGGACTTTTAACGACTACAGTATCACTCTCGCAACCGGATGCTTTGGCTGACCAAAAGGAGACACTTGGTGGAGCTCCGATCGAACCGACTCACGACGATTTTCTTCCCGTTGAGGTTCGCGACTATTTCCCAGAGACTTGGCTTTGGTCTCTGGAGAACGTCGGGGAAAAAGGTCGGTGGTTCAGAGAGGGAAACGTTAATAAAAGCAGGTTTCCGTCACTCTACCTCCGTCTTCTTGCGTACAGGGGAGTTGAAATTAGAGGATCTGGAAGTGCCGGACACCATCACAGAGTGGGTGGGGTCAGCGGTGTGCAGCTCCCCACTGGCAGGACTGGGCTTGTCCTCCCCTCAATCCCTCATTGCCTCCCAGCCGTTCTTCCTCGACCTCACTCTACCCTATTCGATCAAGAGGGGGGAGATCCTTCCCCTCCCTATCTCCATATTTAACTACAAGGCACATCCGTTGCCTGTAAGCTTATCTCCAATGTCTCTCCAGATTAAAAAAAAGCATGGTCAAGCATTCATTGCTTTTTTAAATATTGCTTTTTCAACAGATTCGAGTTGAGCTGGAAGAATCCGCGTCTTTTAAGGTAGATGGAGACAAAATGAAAAGCCTTTGCTTAGCAGAGCAGGGAAATGAGGTGGTGACGTTCGACATAGACTTCCTGGAACTCGGAGAAGTGAACATCACCGTTGTGGTTCGGGTCGACCCTACCTTCCCCGATGTCTGCGGGTCAGACGTATTTCCTGCTTTGTATCTTTCTACTTACTTCTGGGATTCAAGTGGAATTTCTGAATATGTGTGTCCGTGAATGCGGAGGACGCCACTTTAGGCCAAATGTAATTCAGTAATTGATCAGTAACGTAGAAATGTTCGAATTCATTCCAGCTGTCGGTGCAGACGTTGCGTATCAACATGCTTCTCGTTTCTTTGTTCATGATTCCTCATTTCTTATTAAAATGGAACAGTTTTTTCAGCGTCTTGACAGCAATAGCTAAAATAGCGGAGTGACCCAACATCCGAAGATGAGAAGCTGAGGAAGATGCTGAGTGACGAATACCGCGACGCACATTTTCAGAGACTGCATTTATATCAGGAGTGTTTACACATTCTGGGTTCAAGGGGGATATTGAAGATCCACACAAGAGTCGGATCTTTCTTTTTGCAAGAAAATGTAGACATTAGCAAGGACTGAGGATGCACGTCACAACCTGGAATGGACAAAGCTATAAAGGTACTTGCAGAAAGTAGTGAGCGATGAAAGTCACAAGCCAGACTTACCAGACCTTGGCGGGAAGAGCCTCCAGACGACATTCGTTTCGGTTAGGGAATTAACTTCCTTGCAACTGCATCAGGTATTTCTTTCCAAATCCTGGCTGCCCAAAATCATTCATCCGTGAGGAGAGACTGAAACACCGAGGTAGCATCATACTAAAAATAAAAGGGAAAGTGATATAATTACCTTGTTTGTTCGTATCGTGACCAGACATATCTGAAAATTCTCCTTCTGTAACTGGGAATATGAACGGTACTCATTCGAATAATGAATTTGTTTCAATTCCAGTCTCTCGTCCACTGCGGAGTGCACCCCGTTAATAAGTGACGGTATCGTGAAGCCGATACGAGTAGAACCTGAAGGGTTCCCGGTAGAAGAGACGAAGAACTGGTATCTGTGCAGTAAGTCTTTCGTATTCGATGCACATCGAAACATGCACATGAAGCCTTGAAACCATTGGTTGATATCTAGTCAGGCATGAAAAAAAACTTTTTTCTCCACTGCAGAAATCGAATTTTTCGTTCTAAGCGACCGAGACTTTTTCCGAAGGGCTATGACATTTGGCGAGCTTATTGACGCTGACCGTATCACGCGGTCATTCATAACCTACTTGTGACATTCTCATTCCACGGCATTTCCAGAGGGAGATGAAGAGGTGAATGTGCTTCACTCACTGATCCTGCCGGAGGACGTTGTGCCGGATTCTGCTCGAGCGTGGGTCACCGCCTCTGGTGACCTCCTCGGACCCTCGCTTCAGGTATTAATATTTCGTCTCTGTAGGCAATATCAGTGTTTCCTTTCTCTTGATTGTGTGTTGTCGTTGTGTTCAACGGTATTTCTAAAGTAGTGGCCTCCACCTTTATGATTAGTTTCCACTGAGTTCAAAATTGAGAAACAATCGATTTCACATGGTGGAAATCACTTCATCACCCTTATGATATCCACACACTGTATGAAGTTTCAGTTCAATGCTACGAGCAATCGTAGAATGAAAACATGGTTTATAGATGCCCAGCGAGTAGTATGATCAAAGAAGCGATTGAGATTTTGATGGTCTACTCCCCTTCGTCCGCAATTTCTTCACATCGACATAGAATGATAAAACATTTACTTTCTCCACATATTTTGGGGAATTAAATTACCACTGGTTGCGATGAAAACACGAGTGTTATGTTCCACTTTGCCTTACATTCCTCCAGCATGAATCCACACCGTTGTCTCATGAAATTGTTGCCACTTTTACTCAATTTAATTTCCACCTAGTGGAGAGTATTACCCAAGGCGCATATTATATAGTTCTTTCTATATAACATCTTGAAAGACAATATATTGCTGCTCAATTCAAGATTCATACTTTTAGTCACGGCGGTTTCCCATTGGAGCTCTTCACGTTTCCTAGTCGTAACCTGCTTCTATCTCGGAATATGCTTATGCTGCAGGGAATAAAGTCGCTTGTGAGGTTGCCGACGGGCTGCGGGGAGCAGAACATGGTCGCTCTGGCTCCGAATATCTTCCTCCTCCAATATTTCAACGCCACGGATCAACTCAAGCCAGAACTGAAGGCGGAGCTCACCCACAATATGGAGATCGGTCTGTGAAATTGGAATGTGTCGAGACATGTCACAGCAGGCACAGGCCTGTTGCTCATCACTTTCATATTCAGGTAGATAACTTATTGAGTGGCCCTCGCATCTAAGTGGGTATTGCTGTCTTCGATAGAATGCATTATATGCAATCATTCAAAGATAAAATCGAGACAAACCATCCGGTGCATGTCACCTGCTACTTTTTTGCCCCTATTCCTTTTCTTCGTGAATAATATTCTGACGATTCCCTTTTCTCAGGATACCAGAGGGAGTTGAAATACAAGCACGACGACGGGTCGTTCAGCGCGTTCGGGAAGAACGACAAGGAAGGTTCTATGTGGCTGACGGCCTTCGTGATCAAAGGCTTCGGGCAGTCTCTTCCCTTCATCTCCATCGATCAAAGCCAATGGCAGGAGAGCGTCAGTTGGATCATTGAAAGGCAGCTGAAGAACGGGTGCTTCCCCAACGTCGGGAGGGTCTTCACGTCTCGCTATCAGGTTCAGTCACGTTCATTTCTTGTGTATTTCTTGGAGAGCCGCAGGACAGGAAATACCTTAAGTGGGAAGTTCTCACTCGTCACTTTCCTAAATTTTCCAGACGATCAGCACAAAAAAGAGCATCCCGAGGGCGAAATAGGAAGAAATGAGGATTACTGACATCATTGCTGCAGTTGATAGAGTTAAAGAAATCGGAACAAGGCTTCAATCTTTCCCTTTTAATTGCAACTGGAGCATTCATTTTGCCAATAGACTCAAAATTCACACGTGCGTTTCAACCTGACTATTTCAAATAAACGATTTTGCGGTACTAGAGTTGGTTATATTTCGTACTTTAATTTTCCCTGCGGAATGATGGACAATTTGGGCAGTGAACCATATCATCCTCGTGGCGTTTTAACTTTGGGCAAGAAAGACATGCTACCGCATTAAAACGATTGACTAAACGAATGGGGGCCATAAACTCGAAGGGCTAAAAGGTAAATTGGTCTATCTGTAAAAAAAAATGATTATAGATGATTTCGTGCTCATATTAACTTGTTCCTTTCATTGAAAGTAATAAGTTAATCTTTTACGTAATTCCAAAAAACTATTTATCGATACATACCACTTTCCCCCATTTTAATGCGAAAGTCACTGGAATATTTACTCCTTCCGTGAGGAGCTCGAGGAAATAATCCATTGCTGATAGACCTCTTCGTCTTTCAGACCTTCAATTTCTAGTCAACTAAAAATGCTAATTCGAGACTGTGATTCTTTAAGGGAGGACTGGACGATACTGAGGGCTCAGAGGGCTCAGAGACCGGGTTGTCGGCGTACGTCCTCATCTCTCTTCTGGAATCGGGTGCCGCCGTGGATGATGAAGTGATCCAGAGTGCCCTGCAGTGCCTGAAGGGTAACCAGAATCCCTCGACCTACACCCTTGCCCTCACCACGTACGCCTTCATCTTGGCGGGGGAAACCGAACTCGGTGGGATATATATGGACCAGCTCCTCAAAAAGGCCACCGAGAAAGATGGCCTTCTATTTTGGCACGCCTCTCCTGGTGGTAAGAAAGTCGTAATTTGCAACTTCCAGTGATAGAATCATGAATTATGTACTGTTTCAGGGGTGAGTCTAGATCATAAAAAACAGTTATTCTCGTTCTTTCCAATTGCATTTGCTTCACTGCATATGTATATAGAACCGTCAGACGCAGTGGACATAGAGATCACATCGTACGGAATCCTCTCACTGGTGAAGTTGGATCGAGAAGGCGATTCCAACAGAGCCCTTTCAGCGGTCCGTTGGGTTGCCTCCAAGAGGAATTCAAATGGGGGTTTCACTTCCACTCAGGTCTTCCCAGGCTACATTTTCCCTCCACTCGGAAGGAGAGCTATTTCTCAACGCCTGGTATTGCGTTTTTCAGGATACAGTGATGGCTTTGCAGGCCTTGGCGCGATACGCGACTCACGTGGGACTGGGAGACGTGGACATGAAGATCCAACTCTCCTCCCGTGACTGGGAGCACACCTTCCATCTCACAGATGAGAATCGTCTTGTCCAGCAGATGACCCCCGTCCCCTCTGTTCCCTTCTAAAAATATTATCTTGAAATGTTCTTCGCATTGTAATGCAAAGGACAAATATACCAATTGGAGAGGGAAATGGTTTCAATTATTGGGAGGAGGAGTGTTTTCATTTCCAGGGATGTCCCGGAATGAAGTTTCCAAAAAAAAAGTCTGGCGATTTTTGACCTACTTCTAACTATGTAGGTATAACTGTGTCTGTCAAAATGGGAGTAAGTAAAATAATTCAAGTTCTTGCCTACATGAATTTTTCTCTTCGGAGAAGTGAATGAGATGATCGGAGAAATATATCACAGTTACTTTTTTTTCGGATGAAACAGGTTTCAAGCCAGAAGAAAACGCCCTTCAGGACCTTCGCTCTCAGTCCCGAGGTATGTCATCCATACTCGGTTGAAAATTCTAGACAAAATAGGTGAAGGAAAGAGCATGGCTCTTTTTCAGGAATGATGAAGCGCTTGGAGGTGAATAAGGAGACTGGGGAGCTGGCCGTATACTTCGACCACTTGGACAAGGAGGGTTTCTGCCTTGATATCCCGATCGTTCGTAGTGTTACGGTGAAGAATTCCAAGCCGGCCCTCGTCAAGCTTTTGGACTATTATGCTCCCGAGATCCAAGACACCGAGGTAGGTCATGTTGGTTTGTTTCGGCTTCCACTTAAATTCATTGAACTCCCTATGACTATGACTTAAATTAGTTTCTATGCCGAAGACAACTTGCAATTTTCCCAGTTGTTCTACTTGTCATTCTCTTCGCTGAAGATTCTTATCTTCTGGGTGACGAGAATTCCCCCACGTATTGTAGCTGTGCAGAACAACTGTACTAGCTCAGAATAACGTCTAATCATGCAATGGGATACCATTCCATCTNTCTAATCATGCAATGGGATACCATTCCATCTCATGAGACCCTCGCCTTTTTAAATAAGTCTGTAAGCGTTGCCTTCTTCATTGCAATGTATCTTTTCATGCAATTTTTTTTTACCAATGAGCAATTTGGGGCGATCAGCTACTTTCTGCATACCGTTACTTCATGGATATTCTCTCGCGACACGTCAATTTAAAACTCATTCAGGAAGCTGAACCCTATGCAGTAAATTTATTTGAGAAATTAGAATAAAACATGCATTGACAGAAATTTTGAAGGTCGAATTGAATTGAATTAGGCTAAATTATTATTTTGATTTGAACAATCTAATTGAATCCACATCCTTCTGTTAAATGTCACACTTGATTTTCTGAAGCTCACGTCGCGCATGCAATGAAAGCAATGCTGAATGCATCTAAGCTCCATGCCGTAAGTTCTAGATTTGAAATCCTATTTGTCAAACAAAAAAATCTTTTCGTGCGGTTTTCTCGCCACCCGACATGTTTCCATGTTCATCTGAGATCCCCATGTTTTCACAGTTATACGAGATCGCCGAGTGCACCGGGGACGGAGAGGTCACCAATTTAGGAGAAGTCTCCAATTTTGAAGAAGTCGAGGGCATGCTCCCCAATGTGGACATCCGATCCCATTAACTGATTTAACTCGAATTTAATCCTGATCTTTTATGCCTCCTTGGAAATGAATGCAGCCCGAATTACTCTCTCTTCCATTCATAACATCACAAACTTGACATTAAACAAATTTATTGCTATGGCAGCTGTAAGACAAATATCGATAAAACGTAGTTCTTGATGACATGCTGAAGAATGAGAAAACATCTAAACCTGCTTTTTTTCCGAATACATTTCCTTATTTCTTGTGTTGGTACAAATGAGATACTTAAGAGTCTCTTCTGATTAATTGTTGTATTCCCGATACCTGGCGTTCCTTCGAAGCTGAGATGATGAAATCTTTCCCGACTACATTCCACTAATTATCAATGCATTCTGCATGGTATGTCACATTGTAAAGAAATTGAAGTGTGCAGTTCTGGATGCGTTTGATCGTTTGTAAATGCCACGGCGTTCTGCAATTTAAAATGTACTTTGGGGTAAGATTAATTTTGAACCAATGAAATACGACAACATGCCATTATGAGCACGTCCCACAGAATGTATTACTTCCATGCTATTTCCGACAAAATGGTTACTTAATATGTATACCGAGATGCAATGGGTGGAGAAATTGAAACAGACGAACCAACATTTTCCTTTGATGCCAAATCGTACCTGGATGGCAATTAGTAGTTCCATCATATTTCATGAATGTGTGTCTCCCATACTTAATGAAATACCTAATTCTCAGTAAAACTTAAGCCGAAGCGACGAGAGGGACGGAGCTTCCCAATTTCCCATCATCTTATTGTAGCGTTAAAATCCTTTGAAGAGTTCTCATGCCTTGTACGGGGTGTCCCAAAAATACCTAGTAAATTTTACTTTAAAATTTACTAATGCACAAATCACGCATATATCCCTTGCTATTTACTGCTTGTTAAATGTTCAACGTCATGACTCTTGTTATTTTGGCATCATGTTTTCATAAAACCCACGTCAGTTCCACTGATGTTCAAAATAAGCCCACATTCAGCATTTACGCACATGCATATTAGGGACAGATTTGAAAACGTATATTAGTGCACATATATTTTGAGTTATCACGTAATGCAGAATCAATTTTAGTCATCTTAAATCAATTGACCTGCGATGACACCAGAAGTCTTATCACGTTACGTTGGCACATCTTGGACTGATTTCATTGACCTACTAAAATCAATCCGTCAATTGAGATAGCTATTCAGAACTGGGGAACATAACTCAAATGGTGCACTGTTGAAGGTGCTAACATCGTCAAGTACATGTAAGTGTCTACTACCATGAGCGGCAATGCTTGCAGTTCCAATAATAGGTTTTTCAGTGTCACATCTATATGCAGGGTGCTCCGAAAGTTTCTAACCTACTAAAATAAAAATAGAGGCGATTTTAACGGGAATATTTTTATTTAATTACGTTCTATATGTTCAAGAATATTATAGGTACCAACTCATACAATATTACTTGATGTGACTTACTCGTACCCGCAGGAACTTCGGATGAGCGACCCAAAGTACTCAACAAACCGACGGATGACGCTCTTTGAGTTGGTTCCTCACTCGACTGAGAACCCCGTAAATGGCTGACGTTCAATTTCTGGGATGGAACTGACGCAGAACACTCTGCTGGGACCTGTGCCATATGTCTTTCAGGTGTGCAGGCCCAGGAAGTTCATTAGTAACGTCTTCTAGACCTTTACCAAAGTCTCTTCGATGGCGTGGAACTCAAAGACAGCCGTGTGGCATGGGGCTCCGTCCTGCATCAACTCCTTTTCAACAACAATCAATAACCGACCACAGTGTGGTCATGGAAAATGAAGAACAGGGAAATTATTACCCAACGGAGTTCATGAACAGACTTACTCAAGCTGGGCTTGCCCCCCATGAATTCACTTTAAAGCTATAATATCCATGGTTATCAGAAACCCAAATGATAAGCAAGCCTGCTTAACGGAGTTCAAGTCTTAGTTGTGGGACAACGTGAGCACTTCACTTGAAAAATTTTTAAATCGTCCATACCTTGTAGTCATCTCATCTATGCTACACGAAAAGAGACGAAACCATGATAAACGTTTTATGAGCTATTCCAAAGTTCAAAATAGGGTTCCTTAGGCGCCAGCCCTGCGTTCCTGTGTTCTCCGAATGGGTCAAGTCCGTTGTGGATTTGCAAGAAGTACTCGAATTGTCCCCTTTCTTCTTGAAGCATTTTTACTCTCTCAGCGTATCCTGGCTTATTTTGCTGCATCTCCGATTCTATGAGCAAGTCGTAATATTCCAACGCCGACAAGGGGTTGGGTTTCAAGGCGATCTTCTCCAGCTTCTGCAGAGACTCATGAGCCTCGATAATCATTTGGCACACTTGACGCTCTGCTATTCGAAAATTTTCCTTAAGCTTCTCGATGATTTGCTTGACTGTTATCTTTCCTTTTATGCCATCCTCGTAGCGTTTCTGAAGATCCTTGGATGTTTTCTCCACTTCCACTTCCTGCAGGTCGAATTTGTACGGGTTATTTTTGTGTTCTCTCCATTCGCATTTTTTAGGGCAAATTTTGCAAAAGCCTTTCTTCATCACTGAGCATTTGTGCTTCTTATCGTTTTGAGCAATCCCGCATGGCAAATGGCATGTATAATTGCATATCAGGCAATTGGTCAAAAATACACCCTTCTCCATGGGGATTTTCTGCAGACGCATCTCCTTGATTTTGTACTTAAAATTCTTGCTGGCATCTACTTCATCTTCAATTTTCTCCAGAACATCGTTCTCTTGTCGTAGCTCCTCCAGCTTTGATAAACCTTAAAGAAAGAGCGACAATCTCGTCTATAAAATAAGTTATTTTCATCTAGTGGGGAAAGAGTAGGGCGTATGAAAACATACGGCATCCACAGCATGGATATTTTTTAACTCTACGCTCTGTTACTCCTCACGTTTGACCAGAAATAATAGCAAATATATTTATATTTCAGAGGAGGCTATAGGTTTCTTGCAATCAGCAAAACATGGCTGCTCAAAAGAGACCTAATACTGTTGTTTGTCGTGATCGCGATGAAAGTGTTGCGTTATTATTTAACAATGAAAGTGATGCTCATGAGCAAAACATTCTAGAAGAAAGTGACAGTGATGAAAGCGGGGAAAGTGATGAGGAAGATCAACAGGTAAATATTGGTACTCCAAACCCAAGAAATGCGAGTCCTGAATTGGGTGGAGCATAATAAGTTGAATAGACCCATTGAAAGATGCCAGTTTACGGGACAACCTGGCATAAATATTTCTATTAGTGATGTGAATGATTCACTGGAGTCGTTTGAACTGTTTGTGAAAGAAAAATTGGTGGAGCTCATCTAATAATTTAATTCGAAGAGGTCAAAAGCTGCGGCGGCGGTGATGGTGGTGGTCGTGGCTATCACCCCCACGTGCGGGCCTACGATGCAATGCCATTCTGGGTCATAGGCAAGGCCTACAAGATTAGGCCTTCCCAGGCCATCTTATGGTGACGGATGAGGATGGCATCGGGAGACTCGACTGAATGTCCGGGGTTCGGTGGTGTAGTGATAGCACACCTGACCGGCAATCAGGAGGCCCGGGTTCAATTCCCGGCCGTTCCTTGGCTTCTTTCGTCCTCTCATGCCTTCAATCGTCCGTCTCCCACTACCCTCCGTAACATTATCTCATACTTTAATTCGAACAGTCCGATAGTTGTGGTAGTGGTAGTCACCCGAGCGCGCGAGGCCTACAAGACTGTCACTTCAGGCCATAGGCGTGGCCATCCAACGCTTTTAGCGCCAGCTCCATCGAGCTATATCAGTCTGAGCCATACTTAGCTGTGTCAATCAAAGGATGGTAAGAATTGAATGCCTGTCATGTTTTCACTGATCGACTGCAAGTTCTCCATCTGAATACATTCTTCGATCAAGTGTTTTCTTCTGTATTTATTTTTTTTCCGTTAGATCACATGCGCTAAATTCCCTCTGTGCTGAAGTCGAACAAATTCTTCGAAACGGCCCGTACTGTTTCAGAATCAGTGGTACCTGTACCGTATGCAAATGCTAATAACCCATGAGCTAATCGATGATACAAGAGTATTGAATGTGCTGGGAAGAAGTTGTGGTGGTGGCTGTAACCGCAACGCGCAAGGCCTACGAGACTACAAGGTCTCATTTCAGGCCATGGGCTACTCCATCCATTGCTCAATGCGCCAGGTCCATTAGGCTATGCCATCCGTGGCTATGGGCTAGACCATCCACCGTTGAAAGCGTGAGGTCTATGGGGCTATGCTATTCTGGCCAAAGGCTTGGCCATCCAACACTTACAGCGCCAGTTATATCAGTCTGAGCCATAGGCTTAATACTTTGACACAGCTATCAAAGAGTGGTAATAACTGAATGCGCCCCACGTTTTCACTGATCGACTACAAGTTCTCCATTTGAATACATTTTTTGCTAAAGTGCTTTTTTTTCTGTATTTACTTTTTTCCGTTAGGTCAGGCGTGCCTCCTCGAGACATCGCTTCCATATAATAGTTTTCTGTTTGCGTTTCATGTCATGGCCGATTTATTTCAGTTCTCATGATTGATGAAGTCAAAATAATAACGTAAATTCTTTGTTTCATACGTCGCACAAATGGGCCGCTCCTCCCATCAAAATGGTGGCGATTTTTGCGATGTGAGGTTGAACGTAAAAATAAAAATGTTGAAAGAGGTCCCACAGGACGGCGATGAGGCAGTCGCTACAGATAAAAAACAATTGGTGCTGGCGCGGAAACAACGTTTGCCGTTGCAGTGCGAAGTACCTAAATCGTTGCTAGCCGTAATGGCTAGAATCAGTTATGAACAGCAAGCAGATATACGTAGGGAGCGTATGGCCGCTCAGACCGGGGGACAGCAAGAGCCAGCAAATGCTTAGCTCCGGAATAGGAGAGCCGTGCAGTCTGCTGGGCAACTTGATGCAAGGAACGCAGCACTCAGGTGTCGAAAGCCGGGGGGTCGCCGGGATTTGATCCAGGACCTCCTGCTTGCCAGTCAGGCAAGCAAGCATGGCTGCTTTGCATGCGCTACCATTATACCACGGAACTCGGGACATTTTCCCATGCCTCTTCCTGTCATCTCAATAATTACAGTCGCAAGCACTGTCAGGCTGCACATTTTCATGTAGGGAGGGGCCTTTGTTTCACATTGCTGGCGCAACGGAAAAATGATCCTGCAATAGCTCACACTTTACCCTGAGGCTCAGAAGGTGTTGCCCACTGGTGCTAATGTGGCGGCGAGACTTTTTCAGGAATTAGTCGCTAGCATTGTGCCGTACACGCACTAACTTCCCTCTATGCCGTCGAGCAAGTCCTTGGAAATGGTACGTACTGTTTCAGAATGCTTGGTATCTGTACCATACGCTATCGCTAATTGCCGACGAGCTAACAGGTGATGCAAGAGTATTGAAGGTGCTAGGAAGACGAAATCAGCAAAGCTGTATTGAGTCTCATGAAAACGTGTTTAACCGCAATGTCAATTGTGGCAATCAGCTGGAATATCATGATGATGTTTAGGAATAGAATCTCCTTGTGTACTGTAAGCTATATGTGTATAAATGTAACGAAGCGGTTCAGTTCCGAATGAGTAATGCAATTAACAGAGGATTGTTAAGGAGACATTATGCTCACAATATACGATTCAAATTTCTACCTATTAAACGGCCAGCATAGCGGCCGTAGGCCGCTAGTTGTGGATGAAACCAATCGGTATGCATCACAACAGCCGTCTTTCAGGCCACTCTCGAGGTTTTCTAGGCTTCGGAAGTAGAAAGACACTACTGCAAATGAAATTAGGAAAGAGATGGACACTTTCTTGATGCAGGGTATTGTTTGGAAGCCGGAATTGAGCCACTATTACAGAAAGAAAGCCATACTTGGTACTTCTACCTTATCGAGGGTAATATCATTTGAGAGATCGGAGTTACTGCTGAAATTTCTTCCCCCAAAAATTCTAAGATACTTCTGTTTTGCATTTGAGTTTTTCAGTATTAAAACATAATTCCTTGGATCTTGCTGTGTTTGTTGCTTTTCATTTCATGAAAATACTTCAAGTAGTTTAGAAGCAATTTTAAGTTTTATTCGCCGGTGCATATGTAAGCGAACTGCGTCAGGAAATTAAAGCAGGGAGGGTAAGGAGACCCATCGAAATTGAAACAGTTAAGGGCCATTAAAGGGGGAGGGGGTTAAGCCCATTGTCCGCTTCAAATGTACATTTTTTCGTTTTTAGATGTCATTTTTGGTGAATTATTGGGTTAAGGTTGCTGTTTGACATGAATCAAGAAAAAGTCCCGTGAAAAGTATAGTGAAACTTTCGTGCAGAATTCGGTCGAGATCTCCTTTCTCGTATGAGCATCATCAAATGGCACAATGCTTTAATAGAAACTGGAAGTCTGTGGAATGTGGTCAGAAAACGTTCAAGTAACATGTATTAAAATAGCCACAAAGGTGGTCTCTTTTTTGCCACTATAGCTACTGAAATTGTTATTCCAACAATTGACGCTTCATTTTTCAAGGTAAATGCTTGTGTTTCTTAAGAAGAGATTTTGGGTGGAGACGTGTTCAATGTGTAGACTTCGATGAGGCGACAAAATTACCAGCAGTAATTTGGGGTTGAAGTCCGTTGATGATTAGTTCTAATTTGCCCCTCTCCTCTAGCACTTCTCTCGTCAGGTGCAGACTCACTGGTTTTGCCAGTGCGAACTTTTTGAAGAAGGACGTGAAGCTTTTCATGCCCATCTGCCACATCAACTCATTAAATGGATCATTTTCTTTATCTTTGATAGCAAAGACTGCTGAATTGTTGAACTTGTATACTGACGCATGGGGAATATTCGCCTCCTTTGCGACATCCAAAGCAGGTGAGCGATTGCCGTCAGCGAAAGTCAGCATCAACTGGAAGGTGGCCGCAACATCCTTTCCAAAAATAGCCTGGATGGAATCAAATATGTATTTCTGAGTGTGTGTCAGCCGTGATTCAGATGCCCGGAGGACAAATCCAACAGCTTCCACTTGCTCGCTGCTATGAGAACCTCTCCTGTTAAAGAATTCCTCCATCTGGCGAACAATTTCCTTGTCGGCCATAATTCCAGACGTATCCCCAAATCCGGGTGTGTCAATGATAGTTAACGTGTATGATAATTTGAAGCCGTCTTGCCAGTTGAGTGTATATGCTGTAATGTTCTTCGTCTGGCTATGGGTCCTGTTTTTGTCCTCCTCTTCCATAATGATTTTGAAGCGGAAATTATCGGTCCATTTCACCCCATATAGATAGTTTACCATGGAATTAACCAGAGTGCTCTTCCCTGCGGGAGTAGGAAACGGTTGATTATGCCTTCAAATAAGTACTTAAAAAGCATTCATACCAGGTAGACCTCTATGCAAGGTGAGGAGAAAGACATTTGCTATTTTAATCACTTCATGGCGTTAATGAGACCGTAAATTTTAAGAAAAAATTCGAGAGAAAAAATTGTGATTTCTTCGACCAAACATAGATTGTGCACTTTCAGATTGAATGGTAAAATCAAGATTTTTTCATATGATACAACGGCAATTTCTTAAGTAAGGCTCCGCGACATCGATTGTATTATATTGACCGCCTTCATTATTATTCTGACTTGTAATTGTTATCTGACTATTATTATCAGTATCTTGAACTGGGTAAAATTGTCATTCTTCTCCGACCGTTTTGCAACACAAACACGTGTACCGAAGCAACTCTAATTTATTCTTTGGGCTGAGGCCCAAAGCTAGGGGTATGAAACAGTTATTGTGTTATTATTATGGCGTTAATGGTGCGTGCAATTATAAACCATTTGGAATTATGCTCATCAATCTGTCCTTGGGGTGTTTTGGTGTGGGTCCGGAAAATAACGAGCTCGGCTCTCGTGGCAGCGAAACGTCCGACTTTAATTACGAACGAGCTGCCGACAGCTTTACGACTTTCCGCAATTGAGTAACCAATGTCGCGCTGAAGTCCCGTGTTTCACTCCAGAGAGTAAAGAAATAATTCCAAGTTGTTATGGGTAAAACACCAGTCGTTTTCGCTGTTGGAGGAACTGGGGTTAGAGTCCTGTGCGAACTGTGGCCCGACCTGACTCAGGTCTGGGGCCGAAATTTGTTAAATCCTTCTTAGCATAGTGTCGGATCGAACATAATTTTAGCTTTTAAAGGCGTCATTCTTCTGGTCTGAGGCCATGGAAAAGTCATGACTAGAATCTTATTCATGCATGTAATCTGAGAGAATAAAAATAATAAATAGCAAGACCAAGAATATAAATTAAGGAAGGATGACTTTTTGACGGGTAAGGGGCAGTTAGTGCCTCTCGAGACCCAAATCTGTTTAGCCGTTTCTTTTTGAAGAAATGTTCTCCTATCGGTCGACTTTCGGCAACCTCCTGTTTCGCAAAGCAATTTGGAATGATGAGGAAGCACACAAGAAAGCATAGGTTAGAGCACTTAATTTTGTATCGGGGTCGAGTCGGGTCGGGCCATGAAGTTACGGTGGAATTTGAGTTTTCCGATTGGGTGCGGACCTTGACTCGAATCGGGCAAATCGGGTCGAGTACCGGAAAATCGGCACGTGCAGGTACTGGTGAAAAATGTAATAGCATATAACTCCTCCTTGGTTCATGCCATTTCAAATATATTTCTCGGTGCACAACAACCGACTACAGCTTTCAAAAGATGCATAACATGCTAGGATATATATTAGCATATCGTCACAGCGTGGCTTACAAACCTACATTAGCGTATTATATATGAAGATTATGTAGGGTATCCCATGAGTAACTATACCATTTCAAACTGCAATATTTTCCAAACTGCGATAAGCAGGTCACTCTTGTTAGCATTGATAAAAAGAACGTTCTTTAGAATGTTTTTGTAATGACTTGGTATCTGACTCAAACAAAAATTGCCTGGAATGCATATTAGAAATGTCTACCTGTTTACGTCTATTCATGGTACCGCTTATGGAATCCTCTTCTACAAAATTGCTAAACTTCATATTTTCCCCTCATTATTTCAAAGAGACTCAAGAAGCAGAAAAAATCATTTACTTTAAGTTGCTTTCACTGTCATGAAGAAAGGCTTTGCAAATGACGCTGGAGCAATGAATAAATGCTTCCGCCTGGATGGAGGTCTTTGAGACTCCCGTCAGAGTTCCAAAGGAGTTTTTAATATGTTTTTGGAGCCAAGCCCGACGAAAAATGTATTGAGGTTGGTGGAGGGCATTTAGAGGCACTTTCGAAACTCAGAATTGCCTCCGTTTTTGACAAAGATGATTCCAATAGACATGTTATCGTTCAATCGATGTTATTTCTTTTGTTGTGCCAACTGTTTTGTAGGTGTGATTTTTTTAATTGTATTTCAAGATGATATTTTGACTTATTGGACACTGCAATTTCGTCTCAGGGTGTTGGACATGAAGGGCCGATTGGATGAACGATGTTTATTTTAAAAGTCAATTATCGATAGCCATTGTTTAAACATTGTCTACGAAAATGTCGGAAAACCTTTGCCTACTTTCGATTGAGTGAACGATCCCCTAACTTTGTTTTAATGGCCAATGGTTAGACGATGGCTAAGTGTCCCTCATGGTGAAGCACGTTCTGACTTCTTAGCTGCTACGTAATACACTTCGGACTCCGCAAAGAAACGCATGAATCGACCAAAAAAGGAGAATCCTTTCCTCTGACGATGAAGTACATGTCGATGAGCTTGTAATTCAAAACTTCCCGATAGAGAGACACGATGCACTCTTCAAGCATATGAATAATCATGCCTGGGAATTGGTATGTTTTCCACTGAGCGTATTCTGTATTTCAGTACATCAGGGGTAACGCCAGAGATTTGAGACTGATTGTAAAGGGGGATATGGGAGGAACTCGTATGGATCCTAGTAACCTACTGACAACGTTATTAAAAATACATTTTAATAGCAAATATACAAATTGTCACATGCCACTTTTATGGCTTTTCTTAGGCAAGGACCTGCGGTTTCAGTTATCTAGCATCTTCCTTTTTGAGTTTTGAATTCCAACCTTAACAGACGTGGTAGCAGAGAGAAAGGTGACAAAGCACATTGCCTTCGTTCATTTTCGTCTTTTTATTCACATGAGGACTACTTACCTGATCCAGTTGCACCAACTACCAGAATTGTCTTCTCAGGCTTCGGTGGGAAGACGCGTTCGCCAACCTCATACTTCATCAACTTGTTTGTTGCCTGATCCTTGATCTCTCTCAAAGGCAGCTTGTAGAGTGCCACAGTTTCTAGTGGGTCGCCAGATGTAGATGTTTCTCCATCTCGCAAATGATCCGCTAGAGGCCATGGGATATTGGAGGTATGAATTTAAATATTCAGGGAAAATTTACAAGGTTTAGATTTAAAAAAGTGGAGCCTAAACTTCTTGGGCGATCAAGACCAAACGTTTTCGGTTCGAACACATCATCATGACGAAAATATTTGCTCAGTTCCTCAGATAGACTAGTTCGGTTTTTTTTGCCGGTCTGTAACTGCAGAAAATTTAATATTGAAAGTTTGCCCTTACGGTCTTGATTACCTTCAATGAGCTCGGATTGTTGGAGAAGCTTCTCAGCCAGCCGAATTGGTTGGACATTTTCCGTCTCGATTGGCCCATTCGTTTCACTGTCCTCGCTCTCACCAACTGAGCAAATGCTTCGAACCTGTTTCAGAAGTAAGAAGACATGGAGGATACCTTCATATTGACTATGCCGTACCGTGGGGTGAGTTGACGCCACTTTACTACATTGATGTAGAGTTCCTGGAACGATATAGAATTTTTAAATTTGATATTTTCCCCAAACTTTAATGTGCATCAGTCGAAGTAATTGGTGTCATTAATACTTGAAAAAAAAGTTTCTCGATTCATGACTTACGAAAACGAAGGGTAACCTGGAAAAGTAGTGTCGTAAGGTGAGATAATTCCACTTTAAAAGTTTCCTAAATAAGAAGTGATGAACATGTGAATAATAAATAGGTTCTTATGACCAATATAAGTTATTATCTTGCATATTATACAAATAAGTATACATTTATTTACTTCTTCATCTATTATTGTTATCAGTATAGAACAAGTATGGTTCCATACATTTTCTAGTTAAATGTTATTAAATACTCGTGCCTCTAAAACGGTCGCATACATAACATAAAAAAAGAATCTTAAATTTAAAGTTAGGGCATACATTTCCATAGGTTGCGATGCTGGCCCATTGTGCTCGTTTCTCTTTTATGCTTTTGGCCATATCTGGCACATCACAAATTTCCCACTAGCGAATGAGATTCGGTGGTTTGATAACAAAAAACGCCCTCAAGCTCATAGTCCCGAGTGTCCTGTTTGTCAGGTCCCCTTCAAGTTGATCCTGACAGGCTTAGGACTCTTATGTTTAATATGCCCCCAAGTACCGTTATTGCGTTTACATTTATGCTCATATCTAAATACTCAAGGTATTACGTTTGATTTATAACTTCTAAAAATGCCACAAAACATGTAACACTTGAAATGTAAATCTAGAATATGAGAATGCAATAATGTGACTCTTCAGCTTGTAAAAGAAGTAGATCCCTTTCAACCTGCTGTCAGAAAAATTTGGGAACGGAAGGAAAAAGGAATATGTGAATAATTTTTCATTAGCAGTAAAAGCATGATTGACCATCGACTAACAAGACTGGAAGGAGCATAGTATTTGGGTCTAACATGTATATGTGAAGAGTTTAAACCCTAAAAAATAGTCTTGTTTTGAGTATAAAAAATATGGCGGATGACGCAGTAGTTGATAATAATTTTTCATTAATAAACAACCATATTTCATATAATAGCATGAAATTCATCAATTTCAGCTGAAAGTACTGGAGAAAGCAGGCCGAAAAATTCTTAAGAAACAATGGAATCTGTAGTTTTTTTTCGTTACTTGCTTTTTCCTTGCTTTTAGATTCATCTCACTTTCCTGGAGTCATCACATCCCATTTTACAGTATAACTATTCGGCATTGGAACAATTTAAAATCGAGTGGAGGAAACAATCATTTCCATTCAATCTGGTTCATTCAGGTGGAATTATTGAAGCTGCTTGAAACTCACCTTCCACTCGTACTTTGTTTTGGGAGTGAGGCCAGTGATTAGGGCATCTTCTTTCTTCTCATTTACCTTGTTCCCATGCCATTTCTCTTGACACCCGAATGGTCTAAAGGACACCAAGTATGCTTCCACTGATTCCATTCCATAAGTGGGCGGTTCCCATGAAAGTTTCAAGGTATCGTGTTTAACAGCCAGAACCTTTAGGCCTTGCGGCTTCCCTGGTGGAACGAAAGGTGTTGGAACCCCTCCTTCATAAAGAATGATGTCGTGAGACTTATTTCCAAGACTTTCCTCGGTCACCACGAATTTCAAGTGATTCTGAGACTTGTTAGCATTGAAAAAAGCTAAAAAATTGCAGGAGGCTCCTTGCAATGCTTGCACGGTTTTTCTATCCTCATACCAATTTTTGGGGATTCCCTTTTCCAAACAGGAGCTGCCGATGTCCTTTCGCTTCAAATATTCGGACATCATTTCCAAAACTGAATCTGTTTTGGGAACAACTTGGAAGATGAAACAGAGGGCATTCATCCTCAGGTCGTTGACAGCGGTACAAAATTCACCAGGGGAAAAGGCATAGGTGACTTCCTTGAAGAATTCTAGGTACCGTTCCAGGATGCTTATCTCCTTCTCTTTTCCTGTCAGCCAGGAGGAGAGTTTCTCCTGATTGAAAGGAGAGGCTAGCTTTTGCTGGATGAGATGGGAGAGGGAAGTTTCTTCGGAGCTGGAACTGCGAACTGATTTTAGCATTGGAATGATGCTCTCTTGGAAATTTGCCTTGAATCTGTCCAGGTGTGAACGGAATACATCCAACTGAGAATGGATACCCGAGAAGTAATCGCACACTTTGGATTTCGCCAAATCGTTCGCCTTAACTTTCATGACATGCAAGGATTCTAGAATCTCTTCCACATCTTGGATAATTCCAGTGTTAATTTCCCGAATCAATTTTGCAGCTCTGTTGTCCAGCTTATGAAGTGGAAAGAGATATATCCGTTTTGGTAGACTGCCTTTGCCGGAGAGCGTTGGGAGTTCTTCATATACCTTAAGGCGAAGAACCTTCCACCAGCCCAAAAAGCCTTCCTCCTACAGCGGTACTATTCATGTCGCTTCCTCTATGCGAAGAACAAAAAGACCTAGGAGGTGACGCTGACTACGTACACTGGGCTAACCTTTTCGTCCTGCAACATACGTGTTTCTTTGCTTTTTTGTGAGCTATTTACATACATTTTGTAATCCAATGTTTTTGGGAGTCTCACTTACTTAAGTTGCTTCTATCTATATATAAATATTTTCACTTTTTTTCATGAGGACATCATGTATTTCTATCCTGCGTTGGAAAGGTCTACAACGCTTCACGTCATTGATGTCATCAGTCATATTAAATTCTTTATAAGGTTCCACTTCATTAAACTTTCTTGTGAGTACAGACCCAGCACTCTCAAATATCAATGGCTAGTTTTCTTACCTCTCTCATCCTTTTAGCAACCCACTTCTGAACATACCTCCAGGTTCAATAAATCCTTTTGATTTATAGTCTTCCGAATTTAAAAGCAATGCCATGAATTAGGCTTTACTACTGCCACTGCAAGAGAATAACCCGTTTCGAGATGGACTGCTATAACAAGTATAGATTCTGTTGCATGCGCATGCTCTACGAATTCCCTTCCCAAATAATCCTACATCTTACGTTTATATATTTATAGCTAAATATTCTCTTTACTTGACATTAACCTGGATATCCTCAATGAAAAACGAGACTGATATTTTTCGAAGTTTCAGTACCCTTTAGGATGTCGACAATGGCGTTCATTCTTCCTTCCACATCTCTGACTTTCTCTTCAAAGGTGATCTGTCTATCAAAGACGAAGAAAGCATCGGCTCCATACTGAATCCCAGTGACGACATGGGTAGCTATGTCCTTGTTGAATACATCTGGGTGGTCTATTCCTTCCGTTCTCAATTGTTCCATGGTCAAAGACTCATATCGGCTGGTGGACTTATATTGAAGAGTTATACGGGCTTGCTGAGAAGAGGACTTCCTGTCGTGAAGGTACTTCCCTGAGCCTGCAATATGAATCACACAAGTTAGTCCATTATAATGAATTCCATTATTATTGTGAAGATATTACAATATCCGAAATGCGTGTTTCCTTTCGTAAAAAAATGAATGAATTAATCACTATTCAAAGTAATAGAGCGCCGAAGGCCCGACCATAGCGAGGTTGTTTGTCCTTCGGCCAAAGAACCTCGCTAGTAAAAGGTTTTGCTAAAACCTGTTGAACTTCTTTCGTTTGACCTCACACACCTGGGAAAGGCAGGATCGCATTAATGTCCATATGTCCTCCCAAGTGTATTGTCGATTTTTGACGCAAAAGTTGCTAATTTTGTAATACGTAAAGCATAGCAGAAGCAAATGGTCGGCGAAATCCATACAGTGCCGAACCTAGCGCCGGAAAATGGTATGAGACCATCATAATTCCACTATCACCCAGCAGGATATAAATAAGTCTTTATGTTACCAATTTTAATTAATTTTTTTCGAAACTCCTTCAGAGATGTGCTATTCTATTGAATTGGTCCTCTGTCCCAATGAAATAGTTCCCAAAAGTATCTCACATTGATCTCAGAGGAATACGAGGCTTGTATGAAAAGTCATGCGTGTTCCGCAATAAAAATTTGCATATTTCTATGTCCTTGTTGAATACATCTGGGTGGTCTATTCCTTCCGTTCTCAATTGTTCCATGGTCAAAGACTCATATCGGCTGGTGGACTTATATTGAAGAGTTATACGGGCTTGCTGAGAAGAGGACTTCCTGTCGTGAAGGTACTTCCCTGAGCCTGCAATATGAGTCACACAAGTTAGTCCATCATAATTAATTCCATTATTAGCCGTATCAGGGGAAATTTATGTACTGGTTGCCTTTCCATTAATCTCAAGATTTCTGGAAGAAAAACTGTGTAGTGGATGATTTTGCAAATGCTGAATCTTCTAGCTCAATAGGCAAAGTAAGAAGCTCGATGAGAGGTACTGCAAAATTATTACTAGTTGAATGCATGGTAATCATGATATAAGTTAACTATGATTCTTCATGGTGACACCAAAGTCAGGGCACCCTGTACATTATTTTACTTATACCAGTTACACAGTGAGTATTGGGAGACCATGGATAGTAGGTAAACGTACCATATTTTCCCGAGAATTTAACAAGGTTTTCCAAAGAATTCCAATACTGAAACTACATTATTATTCGAATTTCACATATTTTGTGACCTATTTATAAGTCCTTCTTGTGTGAGCGTCAAATGGAGATTCAGCAGCAAATAGGTGGATGCATCCAGTTATCTGCCAAAGCTTCTTTTAAATATTAGTTCCTTTGCGAAAGAAAATAAAAACGTCGACATCCTTAAAGGCTTTTGAGACTGCTTTAAAGATGTTGATTGAGGAAAAGGAAAGAACTTCCCCGGGAAAATGTTAAGGTCGACGGACAAAATCAAATGACGGTGTCGTTCTGAAGCGACAGAAAAAAACACAGCAAAGGCTGTTACAAGCTGGTCTCTCGAAAGAATTAACGGAAATATGGTTAATTACGAGGACAAGAAATTTAGAACAATCGCGACTCCAATCTACGAGGGTTACCAAAAAAAATTTAAACCTTGGGAAATGTATTATACAAATCCATCAAGCCGTCATACAAGAGGAGAGGTCTCGCAGTCTAGGAAATAAACGAGCAGTTCTACGTAAACCACTTCGACACGCCTAATAGGTAGCGCCAGTTACTGCTCTTCAACCCCTTCCCGTAACAAAATTCAACTTCCTCCTTCAAGTAGCAGTTTCCNACTGCTCTTCAACCCCTTCCCGTAACAAAATTCAACTTCCTCCTTCAAGTAGCAGTTTCCATATTTTTTTGTAAAGATTAAGGTTTGCATCCATGGGTTTTAGATACGAGTTCATCTAGGGAGACCACCTTCTTAGTTATTTTCTGCAATTCTGATTGCACTAATTACTTGCTCATTCCCTAAGATTCCTTCTTTGAACATCACTCAACTTTGCATCATCCATCCATAAAAGTTAATTCAAGTGACCTGTGAATTTTGAATTCAGTGCATTGGCGAAATACTGGGAAATATTTAGTTTTAAGAAGCTATGTGTCGAGGGTGTATTTTACAAATGGATACTAAGCGAATTCTCTGAGATTGCTTTCAGATTTCAAATTGTGGCTGTCTCGGAAAATCGTATTATTCATTCAGAAATTAGCTTTTGGTGAGGAATTAATGGATTTGAAGCGTTCGTCAACCTGAGTATCGTGTGCAATTTAATGAGTGACTTATAACTATGCAATTTCGTGTGGATGTTCGCAAATAGTATCCTGTAGTGATTTGCAATGTGAAGCTCATATCTCTTCCCACTTAGGATACCTAATATATATAGACGATCGTGACTGACTGACTGACGCTAATTATAACAATTTTCTAGATAGGTTATAAATCTGAAACTTGGTACATATACATATATACCTTTTGAGATGCAGAGTTCAGAAAAAAATCGACTTTGGAGGTACATACCGTAGGGGTACACATTTTGGGAGAAAAGTTATTTTATATATATATATTGTGACGTATGAGGATGGGATTCAGAAAGTCAACTGGATGTACTGGATTCGGCGGTGTAGTGCTAGCATATCTGACCGACACTCAGGATGTCCGGGTTCAATTCCCGGCCGCTCCCTGGTTTTCTTAAGCTTCTCTTACCTTTCATGTCCCATTACTCATTCCCCCTACATAATATTATTTTTGCTTGAATGAAAAAGAGAGACATGGAAAGCTCAAACCTGGCATAGATATGCCTACTGAAATGATGAGTTCAGGAATAATGCAACATTTTAGATTCATGCCCTGAGGGATATGTTTTGGGGTCGACGTTTTCAAGTATTTTTTTTCTTGTCCTGGCCCATTGAGCTCGTGTAGAAAGATGAAAATAGGTACATAATTACCTACTGGGATGCTGCAGAAAAATTCAGACTTTGGAAGTAGATGCCCCGGGGGCACAAATTTCAAAGGGAGATGTTTTCAACTAATTTTTTTTCCATCGGTTCAAATGATGTACATGGAAAGCTGAAACTGCATGAATGTGACTACTGAGATAATAAGTTAAAATGTTATGTGGTAATGTAAGTGGTGAAACTTGGCACACATATAACTAACATGATATTATTGAGTTGAGGGAGTATTCAACTTTCATGATGTATCCAAGCCGGGCATAGGTTTCGGGTGGGTAGGCTATTACAAACATGTTTTTCCGCCAGTAAAAAGAGCAAACGTATAATATTTAAACTTGGTGGCCATGTAGTTCACTGAGGATGGATTTCGGTAATTTAAGAAAATGGGAATTTTCGGGTAACACGACTCAGAGCACATATTTTGCAAAAGACGTGTTTTCCCAAATTTTCTGATCCAGCAAAACAGAGGGCGCTAGAAAGTTTAAACTTGGCTAAGGAGAACCTGATGGATAGCTGAGTAAAGAAAAAGTTCTACTTTCATTATATATAGACGATTGTGAGTAGCTGGCTAACTGACAGCTCTTCGCATGCTGAGTTCCGGAAAAAGTATACTTTGGTGATACATGCCATAGGGGCACACCTTTTTGGGGAAAATATTTTCAAATAGTTCTCTTTGCTTCAATTAAACGGACACACAAAAAATCTGAAACTTGACAAAAACATGACCGCTCACGCACTGAGCACAAATGCCAATGCACAAATGTCCAAAATATTTTTGGGGTTAAAATTTCTTGGGACATAACGTTTTCAAATAATTTCTCATATCTTGCCGAATCATGCAGGAATAGAAAAGTAGCTGGCGCACGCATTACGGACGTGATGTTGACTAAATAAAAAATTCTCCTTTTTTTATGCGTCTCCTCAGAGCACAGCTTTTGGGTGGGTCCCTTTTCCAAATGCATTTTTTCTGCCAGCAAAAAGGGGAAGCGTATAAGGCTGCAACTGCGTGGCATGGAGTTACGTGAGTCTAAATTAAAATAATTAAAAAATTCGTTAAAACCCATCAGGGCACTTCTTTTCAGTCCAATTTTGCTGTCCAGTTTATTTGATCCACCGAAACAGAGACAAAAAAATATAATCTTCCCTAAGAAATTTCTGTTTAATGGCTGAGAACAGGAAAAATCCTACTTTTGAAATATGTCTCCTTAGCGTAGATTATTCAAGGGAAGTATTTAATAATGTATTCTCCACCCTTACAAAAAGGGACACAAGAAATGATTTACAGTTAGACACACATAGAATCTTTGAAGTAATGATTTTGATTTAAAAAATGAAGACATTCGCCCCCATATGTCACGTATTTCAATGGGGACGTACTTTAAATACGTGTTTCCCATTTCGTAAAAAAATGAATGAATTAATCACTATTCAAAGTAATGGAGCGCCGAAGGCCCGACCATAGCGAGGTTGTTTGTCCTTCGGGCAAAGAACCTCGCTAGTAAAAGATTTTGTTAAAACCTATTGAACTTCTTTCGTTTGACCTCACACACCTTGGGAAGGCAGGATCGCATTTATGTCCATATGTCCTCCCAAGTGTATTGTCGATTTTTGACGCAAAAGTTGCTAATTTTGTAATACCTAATAGCATAGCAGAAGCAAATGGTCGGCGAAATCCATACAGTGCCGAACCTACCGCCGGAAAATGATATAAGACCATCATAATTCCACTATCACCCAGCAGGTTATAAATAAGTCTTTATGTTACCAATTTTAATTAAATTTTTTCGAAACTCCTTCAGAGATGTGCTATTCTATTGAATTAATCCTCTGTCCCAATGAAATAGTTCCCAATAGTATCTCACATAGATCTCAGAGGAATACATTTTAATCCTTGAAACATTCCTCTGAAAATGTAACCTAGCCCTGGAATTTATCAGGAAATTCCAACCACCTAGGTCCTTCTACTTTCCACACTAAGCTACTCTACATGTTTTACTTACTTATAGACATTGTAAAGCCTTATCATAAGTAGGACGTGCTTGGCCTACTGCGGGAGGACATTTACCTTTGCATCCCATGTGATTCCGCTCCTGGATGCCTTGGCCTCCGGAAAGTGGTGTTTGGGATATTTCAGCTCTTGACCATGGGATTAGGATGAAGGAGCAGTATCTGTGTAAGGTACTGCTCCTTCTGCTGACTGTACTCGTGAATTCCCGACAGTGCGAATTACTTAGCCTAGACCGAGGGGGTCAAACTTGATTAAGCTGGGGGCCGGTGGAACCCTACTAAACTAACGAGTTTGTTGGCCCGAAGGGCAAACAAACTCGTTATGGTCGCGCCTTCGGCGGTCCATTACCTCATTATCAGCCCTGATGAATTTTAGCGAAAAAAAATTTTTCTTCTGAAATAGAGACTCAGGGAACTCCATGCCACCCAGTTTCAGCCTTATACGTTTTCCATTTTTGAATTAGCGTCAGTCAGTCACGATCGTTATATATATTAGAAAAGTAGAATTTTTCCTTTACGCAGCTATCCATCAGGCCAATTTATTTTTTAACCTTAATGCGTCTTCTGTTTAGCTGGATCAGAAAATTCGTGAAAATACGCTTTTTGCCCTGAGCAGTTTCAACCGAAAGGTACCATTTTTTTCTCACCGAAATCCATCCTCAGTGAACTTCATACCCACAATGTTTCAACATCATACGTTTGCCCTGTTCGCTGGTGAAAAAAAATGCTTGGAAAAGCCAACCCACCCTAACGCTATGCCCGGAATGGATGCACCATGAAATCTGAATACTCCCCCAGGACAGTAATATCATGTCACTCATGAATATGCAAAGTTTCACCTTTCCATTTCTGTACAATTCGCTACGACAAAATTTTTTCTTCAAAACATTGCACCTGGAAAAAATTCCCCCAGGGGATGTATGGAGACTTCACATTTGTATATAGCTCCTTGTCTCAGTTGTCACATTCATGCAAAGTTTCAGCGTTCCATGTTCATCAGTTTAACTATTGCCAAAAAAATTAGTTGAAAACATCTCCCTTTGAATTGTGTGCCCCCAGGGCATTTACTTGCAAAGTCTGAATTTTTCTGCACGCAGCATCTCAATAGGTAGTTATGTACCAAGTTTCATATATCCACACCAGCTCAATATGCCAGGGTAAAAAAATGAAATTAAAACGTTGGCCCCTAAAAATATGCATCCACATGGCATGAATAAAAAATTCTTCATTTTTCCTTAACTCATCGTCTCAGTAGGCACGTCCATGCCATGTTTCAGCTTTCCACGTCTCTCCGTTTTACTAAAGCAAAAATAATGTTATGGAGTCCATAACTCCATAACTTTTGCCTTCCATGTCCCGTAACGGGACATGGAAGGCAAAAGGAGTCAGATGAAATCCAAGGAATGGCCGGGAATTGAACTCGGACCTTTGATTGCCGGTCAGATATGCTACCACCACACCACCTAACCTAGGACATCCAGTTGGCTCTCTGAATGCCATCCTGCTGTCACAATACTGTATATATTTAAGAAAAACGTTTCCCCAAAAAATGTGTACCACCAGGGCAGGTATCATACTTCCAGAGTCGGATTTTTTCTGAACTCTGCATCCCAAAAGGTACATGTGTACCAAGTTTCATACAGTATTTCTAATCCTTCTAGAACATGGTTAGAATCAGCGTCAGTCGGTCAGTCACGATCGTCTATATATGATATATTAGATGTGCTACGGTCAGGAAGTTTTTGAAGGATCAACATATTTTTTTCGGATCAACTTTGCACTTGCCACCAAAATCGTTTACCACTCTGAAGCCATAGAATGAGGTAGAGATTTTTATTACTTGACGTACCTGAGACGGTGATGAGGCCACTCAGGAAACTGAGTTTGAGACCGGCGTCTATATCCATGGCAGAAGTCTTAACCGAAATATTATCCTCAGCTATGATCTCCAAATAATAGGATTCTTGGGGAGATACTTTGAGGTTTTCCCCTAAAGTTTTCTGATTCCACAGGGTGATGCCAGGCACAAGGCTGTCGGTTCTCCGGTCGTACAGAGACCCCAACTGGAAGGGCCTGCCCAGGCATGCCAGCTCCAACGGCTGACACTGCATATTTATTACTTTTCACTTTCTTTCTCTACCTGCCCTGGAAAAAGGATGTTAGACATGATGATCCCCAAAAAGGATCACGGCAATTTTCATGTTCATCTGTGTGATTCCGATATACCAGCGATCTTACCCTGAATCTTGTGTTGCAGTGTTGCTATTAAATACATACTTTTTGGGTAAATCTTCCGGTTCCGGACAAGTGCCTCGTGAATTAATTAAAAGAAATGAAGAAATAACAAAAAGTGACGACGCTTTAAAGGGCACAGCTATGAATATCAAAATAAAATATATTACCATGCCAAACGCACTTAGTTCAGTGTACCCATCATGTATACATGATATATGAGCTATTCCAAACATACGTGGTATGTGGCGCAAATATGAGACGGTAAGTATTCTCGCTAGAGACCATAAACGGAAAGTAAACACAGGTGTTGGTAGTGGTAATTATACTTACCAGTAACCTATAAAGGGCTAATACTATGTTCATTTGTAATGCTCAATTGGGCATTGGGAAAGCGAAAGGGTCAAGACCCAGCAATATCACCACAAGCACTTTAATAAGGTTTTTACGAACTTCTCTCACAGTATTCAGCGAACTAAGTATTCGACACATTCAGCCCTGCACACTAAGCAAATGAGGCATTCACTTTATTCAACAGTGTGCTTCCATGAATGAATTGCCTTTTATTTAGTCAAGAATAGCTAGGGGCACCCTCTAAGTGAGTTGGTGCGAAAACACTGTCCTGTTCATGATCTTGCTCAAGCTGATTTTAATTGAGTACTTCAGGTGCTTCAGACCATTCGCGGTCTTGCAAAGCTTTAACTGTTGGCTTATTGATGCATGACATTATCTCGTGCCTGCTTTCTCGACACTGCACGGTTCACAGACATGTTTCCTCTTAAGAAAAAATCAAACGTACAATATGATCTGAGCCTTTACAATCAATGAGAGCAGGTTTAGTGTTACCATGAGATGCAATTGGAGTATCTGAAATTTCAGCCGCCCATGAAAAGTCTGAAATCGTCAGGCACATCACCAGAAAAGTAATAGCAGTACGTCGTGTGATCAATAAGTTCCGAGAATGGTTCTAAACTCCATTATTCTTTGATGGACAGATATCACTTCTCGTAGGTTGGAAATTCTAGAGCATGGGCGAAATTTCTTACTTATTGGTTTTCATTAGGATTTTAAACGAAATTTATTCAAATTGACATAATGAACTACCTAGCGAACATGTGTGAGGAATTTTTGGACTACTAACAAATTTTTAAGGGCCATCAAATTTTGCGAGGAAGTGGACGAACCTTGACACCTCAGGAACCTTGAAGGAATTCCACTGATGCAAAGGATTCGCAGAAGAGGAGACCTTCAACATGGTTACCCAATGTTGGGCGATCATCGAGATCAACACAAGAGTGGAACTTCTATTCACCTCCATTAATGCCAACATGAGATCAGGTCAAGTTCTCGGAGAGCTCATGAATTGTTACTTTTTGAACTCTGCGAAGGATTTCTTGCACTTTTTGTGCTCTTCCCTAAAATTTTTGATAGCCGACTTGGACCCTACAGGCGTTTGTCAAACAGGCACGAACAATTTATAAATCGTTGTGCCTCTCGAACATCGTCCAGTAGCTTGAAGCAGCTGCTGCCAAATGAAAAAGCACGCAACTTGCCACAAGTTTATTTCCACTAATTTGACAAAATTTGCTTTTTTATTATTTCCAGTCTGTTTTCATCAGTCACCTACTCCTTTTTGCCAGGTAGTTCATAGTCTCTTTTAGAACAAAATTCCTTTAAAATCCAAATGGAAACCAATAAACAATTTTGAGCCAATTTGAGAGCAAGTTTTGCCAATGCATCCCCAAGGCTCAACCAAAAAAACTTGGTGTTACAGAAGTTTCATCTGTCCATCTAAGAATAGCGCAGTTACAGAACCATTCTTGGAACTTATTGATTACACCATGTATAGTTTCGATCACGTAATACAGTCACAGGCACTCCAACATCAGAACACATAAGGAATTCTAAGCCATCGCCAGCAAACGGCTTATCTTAACCACTCTTATGATAGTGCATTTTTCAAGGCGAGATAGCAAAGTATCCTGAACAGGCTCTGGGAAGAGAGAGATATTAAAACTTGTGTACGGTGGGAGTCTTCTGGAAAGTAATGTAGCAAATACTGGATCCAAATGGTCGTCAAGAATCCGCTTCCCCCATTCATTGTTCATCGGAAAACGTCGATAAAATTAGTTTTGCATCCGTGGATCCCGCACGATGGATGACATGATCCCTTCGAGAAATTTTAAGCATTTTTCGGCTCAAGACAAAGATCGAGACGCCCGTATGGGCAAAATATTGAAAATATCATATCGTCACCAGTTTAATAAGGTTCTGTCTGACATTTTCAGGAAAAATGAGATAATGACTTCCAGGTAACCCGCATGGCAAGCATATTTAGGGGATATATAGATTTTGTGTGAATTCCCTCAAGGAAGGCTACAATTAACAATCCTTCAAGGTTCTTTTTGCCTGGGTCTAAAAGATTCAGGTCAACAAGTTTTTATCTACAGTTCCTGAACAATAGGTAAAGAAAAATTCAGAAGACTTTTGATTAGTTCCAGGTAGGCGATCCCCTATTGCTATCAATCAGATATCTTGTTACAGCTAGCACCATCTAATGAAATTTCGCCTAACATCTAACTTCTGCTCATGCAAGATGATATGAAAGCCTATATTTCAAGTGTGTGTTTCATGGATGAATGAAAGGAAAATGGTTTATCTGTTAAAAATTTTTCTTGAAAAAGTATATTTGGTTATGTGCTCATAGAACCTAGTTCCTTTGATGGAATATGATTATCCCTGTCTCAGTTAAGAAAAAACCTTTTTTCTAGTTAAGAGATGGGGGTTGGGTAGGAGGGAAAATTTGTTTTCTTAGCCGAGACAGAGATAATTCTGTAAAAGATGAACTTATCCGACGATACATACTCTTTTCTTCACGTTTTACAGGGCGTTAACATCACAGCAGAATATCTGAGTTCTTTTCTTGTGTCTCTTTTTTCCATGTTCTTGCTTTGAAGAGGAAGAATAGAATAAACCTAATGAATAGGAATGAAACTGACTTCCGAGACTAAAAGTCCGCGGCCAAAAATCTCAATTTTAAGTCATTTTCCTTTTCGTTATGTCAGCTATGATTCACTACAATATCACCATTTGAAGTTAAGCTTAAGTTGCCTCATACTGATGGTCTTTCACAAGGTCGCCATCTGCAAAATACCAAATACAAGGCAAGGTGCTCGTCCCCTTGAACAACTGGCCTAAAATTCATGTAATATTTTTTGAGGGTAGTCTCAGTAAAGGGAAGAAAAAGGATCTCAAAAGTATGCCTAGATGCCCAAAGTGGACAAGATGCATTACAATGACTTGTACCGTAGAAAACAGGGTGTATCATTAGTATCTCCCTATTTTGAAATGCTTGTAACTATTTGATCAATATTTCAGAATGAAATATCATGAAACATCATGAAACTTAAGAAACAAAATGGCGTTATACCTGTGGAGCTATTTCTAAAACTAAAATACATTGTGAACTATCCTCCCCATTTCCATCCACGGTGACGCCCACCGCCCCGGGAAAACAGAAGCCTTCCTGGAAGTCTCGAAGTGAATTTAATCCTGACCCCAAGACCCAAATCCGTAATCTGTGGGTTCGACTTGCGCCATGACTGTGCCCTCTGTTCTGTGTGCCTGAGCACTCAATATTTTCGCCATGTCTTCCGAGGATGTGGTAGTAAGGCCAGATCCAGATAAGCCTGGGCATGCCTAGAAACTAGAAAATTGTTACCTAGTAATCCTGCAGTGTATTATCCACCGTATTGTTTGGTAACATGTTGGCAGTTATGTTGCGTGCAGTAAACATTGTGTGGGGTGACAGAGGGAATCGCATAGCAGTGATTGCCCTGCACAAATTGGGTCAGGAACCTGCAACCATTTTTAAGACTTTGCAGCCACTTGGAATCAGTCGGCAGTTTGTTCCGAGCTATCAATGATAATCGGGGAGTACGTGACCACCCTGGATCTGGACGTCCACGCACTGCCAGAACACCAAGAGCCATCAAAGCAGTTAGCAACAGGATTCGGCGAAATTCTCTCCACAAGCAAAAGTGATGGCCATGGAAATGGCCATCTTTGAGTAGAAGATTGTTTCTGTTGATTAAATTAGACCTAAGGATGGGTGCTTACAGAAGAAGCACAGGACACATGCTGACTATATCTCTGAAAGAAATCTGGAGGTCCTGATCGAAAGTAGTACTGCAAAGGTATGCGCAAAACATAGACCAAAAAATCCTCTTAACTGACGGGAAAATCTTCACAATTGAAGAAAATGCCAACCCGCAAAATGACCAAGTGCATGCCCACAACTCTTAGAAAGCTGCAGAAGTCATCCATAAGGTGGAGAGAGGTCATCATTTTGCTTCCGTCATGGTTTGGTGGCGTGTGAGCTATGAGGATGTCACCAATCTGCATTTTTGCAAGCAATGAGTGAAGAAATCTGCCAAGTTATACCATGAATGCGTCTTAGAGAAGACAGCGAAGCCTCTCTGCCAAAGAATGTTCAATTTGGGCAGCTGGATCTTCCAGCAAGACTCTGCACCTGCTCACAAGGCTAAGACAACGCAGGAGTGGCTAACCAACAATGTCCCCGAGTTCATCAAGGACTCAGATTTGCCATGTGGGTGCCCCGACTTCAACTCACTGGACTACAAACTATGAGCAGAGTTGGAGCTTATGGCCTGCCACAGAAGACATCCAAATATTGAAAGTCTGAAGCAGGCCCTTGCAAAATCAGCAGCCAATATCTCAATGCACGTGGTGCGTACTGCGATCGATGAGTGGCCTGATAGTTTAAAGTCATGTGTGAAGGCAAGGGGGTGGACATTTTGAATAATGTTTCTGTAATCTGTTTGTAATTATGTAGGGAAATAAATGCTATTAGTGAATA